TTTGTCCTTTCCAGAAGCATGGGCTCACTGATCCAGCAGCAAGAAAGCCCATGACCCCTCCTAGACACAGAATCCAGTGGTGCCAAGTCCTCTGTAGACACCAGTGAACATCTTCCTAATGCCGAGTAACTAGGACAGCACCAGAACACAGAAAAGAAACCGAGACACAAGTATTTCAGGCCTAGCTCACAGGGTCCCTATTGTTAACGTTCCTTTAAATGTCACTCGATTCACACCAGCTGTTCCCAGCTGCCAGCACCACTTCCTATTTCTCATCTAGTAAAGAGGCACCTGCCAAGCCAGTAGTTTGACATCTTCTGAACCAAGAAGTTGGTCTTCCAGCCAAAGGGGAGTTGATGGTCACAGAACTGGCTCAAACCAAATATTCACAGACTGATAAGAGCTTCTTGCTTCCCCCATTTCTTCTCCTCGACCATTTTACAGGTTTCTGCCACATTTCTTAGTGTGCCACAGTTGGACTGGCAAATTGCTTCCGTGATCTACTCCCTCCCATGCCAGTCCTTCCCTGATGGTGCTAGATAAGTGTCCTTGGGTCCTCTATCCATCCTACACTTGTTTGATGATAGTTTTGCTTCAAAATTTAAGGTTTTTCTTTTTCTCAGAGTCATGCACGTAGAACTTTAAAAGTCAAACAATTCTGAAAGATTGTAATGAAAAAATAGCAGTCCTCTGTCTCACTTTGCCAACCCCAGAATCTCACTCTCCAGAGGTAGCCACTTTCAACTCGTCTGTTTCTTCTGGTATTCATTTCAAATTTTCTAAATATTATACTTAAAACACTGCTATTTCTTTATCTTTCAATTTTAGAAACTGCTTAATGATTTGCTTACCATGGAACCTAAGATTTTGGTCTTTGATACCCTACTTCTTTCCCCATACTCAGCCTCCCCCAATCTAATAAAGGCAATCACAACACCGTGAGGGGCTAGCTCAGACTTCAGCATCAACAATGGAAACCAGGTTGGCAGCTGAGCTGCATAGAAGACTTGCTGTGCTTCTATTTCTTTGGAAGTATTACTTCTGTATATTGTGAATTAAATGCTTACATTGAAGTAGTGGGGGAAGGGAAGAGGAGAGACAGAAGATGAGAGAGAGGATGAATACCTTATTGTGTATGTATATAGTTCAGATCAAAACAAATCACAGGAATATATCAGTTTTACTCGTTTCCTAAAGATAGCATTTTTGGGATCCTCTGTCACCCTATTTAACTCTGATCCTGGTAGCCTCTTAGTCACTGCGTGTTGTCACCCTAACTGTATTTCACTACAATACTGGGGCTCAATCCCTTTGTCTTTGTCCTCTACTGGATCCCTTTTTTTAAGATTTACTTTATTCTGTTTCATTACTTTATTGTACTGTATGTGTGTGACTGTTTGCCTGCATGCACACCTGTGCACTGAGTGTGCGCAGACCCTGTAGATGTTAGATCCCTGAGGAGTGGTATGTGAACTGCCATGTGGGTCCTCTCTTAAACTTTGAGCCATCTCCCAGCTCCATGCCTTCCTTTCTCACTTGCCTCTTTGTTCTTCGTGACTCATGTTCTTTAGCAGCTGCTTTCTCAAAGGTACCTGACAACATTGCAATTCCATCCACACAGGTAACTGGCGCTCCAGCTAGGTAAGAGCATTTGATGTTAAAAGCCATTTTCTTGTTAAGAAATTTTATGAACTTCTGTGTTACCTTCTAATTTTCAGTGTTGCCACCAAGAAGCTCAGTCGCATTCTAATTCTTAACAGCCAAACATTAACCCTATTCCCAATTAGCAGAAACTTTCAGAACATTCTTTTCTCTGATGGTCTGAAATTCATGGTGATTCACCTAGGAGTGATTTTTCTCTAACTGAATGTCCTGGGTGCTCAGTAGATATTTTCATGGTTAGTTTACACATTCACATTCTATCACCTGGCCACACATGCTATTAGAATATTGCCAATGCATAACTTTTCATCTGAATATATTTTCATTTTAGTCTACTTTACAAACTGTTTTATATACACACAAATGTGATAGCATATCACATTGTCTCCTTGTTGTCACTGAACCATTCTTAAGATACCCTATACTCCATGTGCACATGGTATCTGTTGCTCTTAATTGCCATGTCAAATGCCACAGTGTGCAACCAACAGCTAACATATCTAATCTCCCAGCTTGGGACACCCAATATGCTTCCCATGCCCACTGCCAAGAAATAATACTGGAAAGAGCATCTTTGCACAGGTCTCAACAGTTCTTTTAATCTGGCAATGGTGAATCTTTTGGTTCTGGCAAGATCTGTCATATTTTTTTATGTTAATTCTTCCTTCCCCCTTCATTGTTCTCTTCATTGAACTTTCTTGCTAAAATGTTGAATCAACTGTAAATATTTTGAAATAAGGCCTTACTGCGTAGCCCAAATTGACGTTGGGCACGTGCTTCTCCTGCTTCAGTCTCTCAAGTACTGGGATTACAAGTGTGTGTGCCACCACACCTTGCTCTTTGAGTCATTCAGTATCTGTCTCTGTCTCTGTCTCTCTATCTGTGCTTATCTCTTCCTGTCTGTTTCTGTCTCTCTCTGTGTTTCTGTCTCTCTCTCCCCCACCCCATTTGCTAAGTGCTATCCCCAATTTTGCACTCCAACTTTACTACCTTTTTGGTTTGGTTACATTTTTACATTAACTCAGCTTTGCATACTTTTACTCATACTTTCCCATCAATTACAATTTACATGTAATCTCAACATCTTTTTTTGTAATAAGCTGTTACTTTATAGATAAATTATTTCTCTATCCCTGCTGGCATCAAATGTGAATTTATAAAATTATCTTTTACTAGCTGCATCCCCCATACTCACTCAAGTTTCTTCTGTCTATTTTATTATGTCACTCAAGGACTTTCATTTTGAGCATTTTTCTCAAATGCCGATGACCCCTGGCTGTGTGTTCCTATGAGCAAGGCAGTGTAGACTCCACACCCATAGCTGGATAGCAGGAGCTTGTGGAGTGTTGAGTGTAGTAGGTTGAGCTGCAGCCCCTTAAAAAGACCATTCTTATTCTAATTCCTGGAACTCCTGAATGCTACCTTATTTGGAAAAAGAGTCTTTGCAGATAAAGCAAAGTTAAGTATATTCGGAAAAAGAGATCAAACAAGATTATCCAATGATGCTAAATCAAATCACAAGTACCCTTATAAGAACAAGACTAAGGGTGATGACAGCCACGGGAGAGGGAGGGGCTGTGCAGGTGCTGAGGCAGAGACTGCAGCAATGACATGGTGATAATCCAAGGAATGCCTGGATCTACCAAAGCTGGAAGAAGGAAGACACAACTCTCTCAGGCCATTGGAGGGAGTGTGGACTGTCAGATCTGGAGTTTGTAACTCAACAACTATCAGAGAATAAAATTCCTGTCAATTTACATTACCTGGATCAGGGTAGCTTATTGTGATAGCGAAAGAGAATGGACATAGTGAGCTTTACTAGGGGTGATGGGATGGGAACCTGTTTCTCTAACCTAACCAGACTGTGATAGACAGATCTTTTCTCTTACGAGAGAATTCCCACAGAAAAATCTCCTAAACTATGGCCAGATTGCTGCTTTTCTCAGAAAACAAAAGTGGGCTGGGGAACTGACATTCAGTTTATGGACTTGTCACTTAGGCCTCTTGTTTCCATGACAATGTCAAGTCCACCCTAAGATGCAGCAGGTATCATTGATTTAAACCTCAACAGAGAGTAGATCTCCTGGTTTGTTTAGGGGTGTGGTTAAATGGGGCAGATACTTGCCAGTAGTGTCTAGAGAATTGAGTGGGTAGCATGGATTTTTAATCAATCCCGTTTTTAATATCATGTACATTCCAATTCTCAGGAATACATGCTATCTCTATTTCCGAAGTCTTTCTCTGGCTCAAAGGGAAATCATTCTGCCTATTTATTGTCATTCTCCCTTGAAGGCACTTAAACTTCAGCTTTTACAGACCACCGTGGCAGTGGCCATTTGTTACATTAAAAAGTTTTGTTCACATTCTCATCTGTTGTCATTCCTCCCATTTCCTTGTTCCTGTGTCCTTTAAATGCATCACTCCTCTATTCATAGAGTTTCAAAAAAAATCTTTAACTTGTTTCAGTTTGCCTCATGTAAACACAAAGATCACTTTATGTGCTATTATTTGAAGAACTTACACCAATTGACAAAATCATCATTATTGTCATCATCATTACCACCATCCCAACTCTGCTCTGTAAAATGTAGAGTTCTCTAAAATATTTATCTGGGCTGGGCCATCTTAAAATGTCATATTTTAGCCTCCTTATACCTCATGCCATGTCCCACTTGTTCATCTTCTCTAGAGTGTTTATCTCTCATATATTGTTTTCCTTTATTATTCTAGCAGGTGATATCCCCCTTGTAATTCCCAGTCCTGTTTGAAACCAACGCTAATGGCTTCAGACTGTAGAGATTTGTTCCTTCCTGCAAACAAATTATTGTATTTCACACTGGACAGTAAAAACAAGATTTGTACTCCCTTTTTCAAATGACAAAAAAAAAATGTCTTCATGTTAGACACTGGACAATAGAAATTGATATAAAAGAATTCAAGTCGCAAACATGAGATGTGACATTCAATACACTGTGAAGCAAGCATTTTTTTTTTTAGGATAAAATCTATGTCTCCTTTAACTTTATGTCCATAACAACCAGCACAGTCTTTGACATAGAGTTATTGAATGGAGATATGGATAGATAGATGAATTCACAAGACACTGTATTCAGAACTGCACATGACATAGAGCTTTTTAAAAATGTCTAAATACAGTCAAGGGGATTAAAAAATCATCTCTTACTGGACTGAAAAAAAAAAAAAACTAGAACAGCAATGGCACAAGGGGCTTCCCAGTGTCTTCGAAGGGACAGTTAAATGAGTAAAACTGTCATGAATCAGAAAGCATCAGCTCTCAGCAAGCACCTCACAAAACAAGAGTGAAACATCTGGCTTACCCTGACAGTACTCCCAGGACAAGGTTGAGAACAAAGAAGGATCCAATGATGATGAGGGGGATGAAGTACAGCCAATTCCAGGTGGCTCCTAAGGCATCATTGGTCTGAAAGAAAGAAATATGGGTTCTTAATTAAAGCCATCTCCAAGAAGGCCTACATTCCAGTAGCTTCATACAGAGACTGATGTAACAATCACAGTGTGACACAGTTAGACTTTATCTCACCCACATCCCCACTCTACTTTATTGTAAGGTAACTCAAATTCTGCCATGTGCCTAGTGAAAATCATATCAGAAGCTCTACATCATGAGTGGGAAAATTCTAACACCCTAATTAGAAGATGTGAAAACTGAATTGAAAAAAAAAGCCAAAACATAGCTCTGAGGTTATAAAAGGGTAAATAGGCTTTATAATTCTTTGCACTCTTAAGCTAAATAGATTTAAAAAAAAAAAAAGAGAGGGGCAGGCTGTGCCTGTCACCCTATCCGATGGGTGTCAGTAAAGCCCTTAGTAGGGCTGCTTAGAAGGAATTAGGTTCACACCCAGCTCCTGGGGCAACTTTCCTTCTTCTATTATGACCCTGTATTACAAAGTTGGTCCAGGTCTGGCCCCAGCAAAGCCCTCAGCAGAACAAGGACTATATCTTGATTTGAAGAGTGATCATATGATGAGATCTTCTGATCTCCCCTGATCTCTCTCTCTCTCTCTCTCTCTCTCTCTCTCTCTCTCTCTCTCTCTCTCTCTCTCTCTCTCTCACATCACTCTTCCTTCTCCCCTAACTCACACTGATTCCACACCATGGAAAAAAAAGCACAGACGTCTGTATTGTGGATTCTTAAACTCCAAGTTGGATGCAAAGGTGTTGAGGTGCCCGCAACTGAGGAAGGATGACTTGTCATATTTTATGAGACCCTTGAAATCAAACTCTCTGAATACTGAATACCCCAACATCCTTTGTCTCTTAACATAGGACTCTTCTTAATCCCAGGGTTCTCCCTGCCCAAGCCTTTTCAAAGGGACTTCTGGGTTTGTACTTCACATATACAGACCTTTGAATCCTTCCCTAACCCAACCCTTCATGCATTATTTCAGTATCAATTAGAAACTCACAATAGATATTTTATCCCCATTTCATTACGGAAATCATGACCCTAAAGATCAAATGCTATACCTAAAGCTAATATGCTTTAAAAATTTAAAACCAAAGCTCAGAATGTCTATGGTAACTGTTGACCCATACTGTTTTATTAAAATTTTTCATTAACATATCAGCCAGTTTCCCCACACTTCTCTCATCCACCCCACCCCAGTCCCACCTCCCAGATGCCCCTCTCCCCTTCCATTCCTCCTCCATCTCCATTCAGAAAGGAGCAGTCCTCTCATCAGCATCAACAACCCATTCTTTTTATGCACCTCTTTCTCCTTCTCATAACTAGATCTTGAAAACATATTTTAAAGTGATTGTTCTCATGTATCTTGTGCACTTCTGTAGTCCAATCCCCAATTATCTCATTTTCTTTTTCCACTCAATGTCAAGCTACATAATATATCTTCTGATTGATCATTGCTGCTATCACTGGATAGTCAGATCTCCCATTAAAAACAATCCCCAAGCCAAGCCCTTTTGGCAAACTTGTGCCTTTTGTTTTGGCCCTGCACTGATTGCAGATGAGATGATTGCAACTGAAGTTGACTCAGAAATTCAACACAAAATATAAAACAGTTTTTTAACAACTGAATGGAATGAAATCCTCCCAACTGCAGTGTTTGAGACTCAGGTCTCAGGCTTAACCATATCTGTGTTAGGTAGAGAGGGCATGAGGCCAGTCTCAGAAAAAACCTTGTCACATCAGCAGCAGGACGATGCAGAAGAGCTAGATTCCGAGAGCTACCGGGGCATGAAGGACAGGGGAGGCTGGAGTGTCTGAGATGACTGAGGCAGAGGTCTAGCTATGAGCAAGAAGAGAATGATGATCCTTGCAGAGCTAGCTCTGTCTGTCTTCAGGATCAGAAGTCAAATACTCTTTAGATCCTGGTTCACTTCAATGGCTCTCTAGCAGCTCCAGATTAAAACAATCTGTGTGCTTCATGGTTTTGCTAGTCCCCTTCAGTGTTCTTTGGCAACAAGGGCTAGGTCTACACCAAGCATCCAGATCAGAGCTCAGCTGCTCATAAATGTAACAATAATCAGCAGTGGTGCTGGTGGAATTGTGGATGTTGAAGTATCTCTGATCTCCAAGTGAGCTGATGTTGAGGTATCTCTGATCTCCAACTGAGCTATGGTTGAAAGTAGCTAAGGTGACTACAGAGTAGAACCTATGTAAAACATGGCATTCTCTGTGAACGCTACATTGCTGTGATTTATAAAAGGTAATGATGGCATTTTGTGGGAAATGGATTTGGTAACCAGAGAAAGTTAGGGAACAGCAAATTATGTATGTCTCACAGGCAGTAAGAACTGTGAAAAAAATATTGCTTACTTACGGTGCCATTTCATAAACTTCCTTGGTTATAAAACTTTTTTCAAAGAAAATCTATTAATACATCAGAGAATATATTCCATAAGGCATGGGGATACAAGAATGCCCCTTATTGGCTAAGAGTTTGGAATGCTTTTCCTAATTTTACTACAAAGCGCTCATGATGAACTGTGTTGGTCCAGTCAGAGCTGTGTGAGAATGTTTGGGATTTACTTTTTAACTATCTGGATTTTTAATATCTGGAATGTGACAGAGACTTTGGCACACATAGAAGTAATTAATTAATAAATGGCCACACTTTGAATATGAAGATTCTCTTGTTAAAAATAACCAATACAAATCCATTCTGATAATACACTCTCCATCTGTGGCATTTTCTCTGAATTGCTACATGTGTCATCTACCTCAGTAAAGGAGCATCCCGGAAGAAGAAAACAGAAGAAGGTGAAGAGGAGGGAAAATGAATAGCTGTGAAGACATCAGCCCCAGCAACATGGAGAACTGGGGGTTAAGGAAACAACTGACAGCTTAAAAGGTTCTTCAGGAGAGAGTAGTTTGACACCACCATTACTTGCAACCTTTTAACACTGTTGCTACATTCTCTCCTCCCTAAGCTCCTATCAAACAGTTTGTTTGCCCTTCCTCCTCCATCATTTCTGACCAGATGGCTTCCCATGCCTTTATAAGTTTGTTGTGGTCTAATAGCCAAGAGCCAAAGAGGACCATCCTCATCGGAATGTGGGCAAGCAAAGGCACATCACTCACGATTCTTCCTTCAAAATAGCAAGGTTCTTTCTGAGCCATCATCTCCTTCTGATTCATCATTATTAAAAACTTAAAATTGTCCAGTGTAGGAGAGATGTCTACTAAAGTATATTTTGAGATTTTTAAAAGAAGCAATCGGCAACTCTGAAGTCAGCAAGCATTCTGATACAGAAAAAGTGTGAGTCAGGATACTATCACCAGTGTGGCCATGAAGTATGGTCTCTCCTTGTCATCCTTTCATCCTTTCTTCACTGTGTCTGTGACTATCACAGGGCTCACAGGGAACTTTTGTACATAGGATACTCTGTGATGAGACCTTGCTTGTACAAATAAAGCCTGTCTGGAGGTCAGAGAATAGAGCTTGCCTAGCTAACCATACAGGTCTAGATGTCTGTACAGACAGGCAAGAAGTGAGATAGCTGGACAGAAATAAGATATAAGGAGGGAGAAACAGGGACTTGTTCTCTTGTCTTCTGAGACACTAAGGAGGTAAGGTATGGCCGTGGCTTGCTCCTTCTCTATGACATCTCAGCATTTTCCTCTATGTCTGACTCTGGATTTTTATTACTTAGACTAATTAAGAACTTCATTTACAACACTCAAGCCTTATTTTAATTTTAAGAACATAAGACAGCCATGTAAGGTCCTCAGGTAAAATCCTGAGGCATGAGACTAGCTTCTGATGTATATTCTCTGGATTCTGACCCTAGGAGAATTTCACCGGTGAACTGTCACCACAGAGACCCAATGGGGAATAATTAAGTGTGAATAAGGCCCTTCCCTGCAATTAATGCTATCCAGAGAGCAGCAGCCTCTTCATACCACACCCATGGAACACCTTCTACAATGATTAACTTTGGACTGAGGGATACCTTGGTAGCTGATGAATCTTAGTCTGTGTAATATATTATACCAAGAGAAAATTTGCTTGTAGAGCAGAGACCTAAGTAGGGAAGACACCACAACAGGATTATAGGTGCCTCCCATTTGCTAGGGCTTAGATGGTAAATTACAAGTTGGCCAGGAGGTGGTGGTGCACACCTTTAATCCCAGCACTCAGGAGGCAGAAGCAAGCAGGTTTCAGTGAGTTGGAGGCCAGCCTTGTCTACAGAACAAATTTGAGATCATCCAGGACTGTTACACAGAGAAAGCCTCTCTCAGAGAGGGAGAGAGAGAGATAGAGAGAGAGAGAGAGACACAGAGAGAGACAGAGAGAGAGAGAAGGTGGAATAACAGGCCTCATACATGCTCAAACCTTGTTTAGACTCCTCCCCCTAGAGCTGTACACTGTTTTCCTTCTGACCTTGGGCATTAAAACTCTGGCTAAACTTAACATCAGGACTTGGTACCAGTGGCCTCCCAAAAACTGTGGACTTTTATTTGGTCTTGGTCTAGGGGTTGTACCATCATCCTCCCTTGTTCCGAAGCTCATGATTTAGAGGGAGACATATTATTGGTGTCTGCTGGTTTCACCAGCTTGCAAACAGCTTCTTGTGAACGCCCAGCCTCTCATCAAGTGCATCAATTCTCTTTAAGCCCTTTCCCTGTGCCCTATTGTTTTTCTCTGGAGCATGCCCACCATATGACAGCTATTAGGGGGAGAGCTTTGCATTGGATCACTGTCCTCTTCTTTAAGGGCTGATGTATCTACAGTGCACAATCTTCTCCTGATGTCAGGCTGGCTGCTCCCCCTCCTTCTCACCTGTCGCTTCACCAAATGACACACACACATGCACGTGTGCACGTGACAAAAGTGATGACAGACAGAGAAAGAAGTTTGGGGGTGGCAACCCACCTGCACAGGAGTGCTCAGCGGGTACCAGTCCTGACACTGTGGGGATGCATTTCTTTGGGAACCT